GAACTGGAGAAAATCACAAAATATAAAGACCTGCAAATAGAAGTAGAACAACTATGGCAAAAGAAAGCAAGGATTGTACCAATAGTTATAGGTGCTTTGGGTACAACCCCAAAACATATGGAGCCCCACTTGAAGACCATCAGCATTGACAAATTCACCATCAGTCAATGGCAAAAGGCAGCTGTACTTGGAACAGCTCATATCCTGCAATGATACCTTTAACACCATCAAACAACATCTGCCTCTCCCAGGTCCTTGGGAAGGACTCAACAGGTGGATAAAAATGCCAAACCCAGTCTAAACATCTGGCTTACTGCGCGACCAACCATAATAATGCTTTTATACTTCCGGCGAGGGGGAAAATACTTATTTCAATTGAAGGAGGAAATACATTCCTCAGACTTTTCTGACATTTTTGTATACAGTAATTTATGGATCCCCGCAATATCCAAGCAGCATAAATGAGATGTTCCAATTTTATACTCATAACAGCCCTGCTAGGTTGGTTGAGCTGAATGCTGGTGATTAATAGTCCGTCATGAATGAACTATACCTGAGTAGAAACATCTCTGATGCACATTAGTCTGCATTAGTTTCCTGCAGCCTTTGTTTATGGATGTGAGTCCATAATTAACTTCATGTCAGAAGGCTTTGGCCTGAAAAGTCATCCCTCTGACATGGATGTCTTGAACTGCAACAAAGATTCTCTGAATGAAAAAGTTAGGGAAGTGTTTCTGACATCCAACAGTTCCTTGATTCCAGCTATACTTTAAAATCCCAAGCCCTGGAAATCACTGTAGCTAGAGATTAGCATCAGTCACTTCAAACTGAATTGGCCACTATGCTGTTTTTCTGGTTACTACAGAACCTCGGTTCCCTGTTCAAAGTAGAAATGCTCTTCTGGTGAGCAGAACTGTTGAAGGCGAATCTGGGGGTTTAATGTGTTCTGGGGTTCTCCTGGACTCCCTTGAGAAGCAGGTGGCAGCCGTGGCCAGGAGGACTTTTGCACAAAAGCATCTGTGCCAGTTGTCCCCATTCCTAGATCAGGAGGCACTGCTCACAGTCATTCCTACCTTAGTCACCTCCCAATTGCGCTGTTGCAATGCCTGTACATGGGGCTGCCCTCGAAGAGTGTTCAAAAGCTGCAGCTGATCCAGAACACAACAGCACGTAGAGTATTGGTTGTACCACAATATGCCCACATAACACTGCTGCTGTGTGAGCTGCATTGACTCTCACTAGGCTTCTGGGTGCAATTCAAGATGCTGGTTGTCACTTTTAAAGCCCTCTGTGGCACAGGATCAGGATTCTTATGGGTCACTTCTGCCCAATAGTTTCTGGCTATCCCACTAGGTCTGACAGAGCGGGCATCCTCCGGTTCCTCTCCGTAAAAGAGTGTCGCCTGGTGAGTCCTAGTCTGTGTGCCTTCTCTGTCATGGCACCTGTCTTGTGGAATAGCCTCTCCCTGAGACAGAGACAGCCTGAACCCTGTGAAGACCTGGCTCTTCCCCTAGGCACTGAGGCTGGGATACTGATGGAGGTCTGGCGTGAGAGTGGTTTGGATTACATGTTGATAATGTGATTTTTAGGGGCCTTGACCCTGTTTGTTTTTAATTGGATTTGTATAACTTGGTTATATTTTTATTCACTTCTTGCCGTTTTATATGAGTCTTGGCAAAATGTTTGTGCGTTGCTGCACTGGAGCAGTTGATGATCTGGATGTTATTCCCATTTTTCAGGACCTGAAAGAGCTGCTTGAAAAACTAGAAAAGAATGAGAAGAAGCTGAAGAAACAGCTCAGGATTTACATGAAGAAAGTCCAAGATTATGAAGGTAACTTTAACTTCCAAGACGCCTTCTGCGGCTGAAATTAATATTTTGTCCTGTACTGACCAAACAGTTGGTAGGACTAAAAGCGGGGTTGTCTTTAAACCAACAGGAGCTAAGTATCCAGATCAGGTTTGGCAGCCCTGCCAAATTGGAGATCTGAATAAGGTTTGATGGGAAGACTAAATGCAACTATTTTTCAAAGGAAGGGTGTATTACGAGCCATCAGAATCCCTGGTTCTCCCTCCCACATCCTTTGCGGGGCTGTGTGGTGCCACATAACACTTGTATGCAACTCCTGAAACCAAAAGTGTCCTTTCCTAGGGTCTGACAGCTTCCCTCTGCAGCTCTTGTATGATCCTAGGAGGACTCAGCTGCTTTTTAGAAGTGCCAGACAGGCGCTAGGATGGCACCCTGCACGACCTGAAGCATATTTTTGCCTTTGGAAGTGCTGCCTCCTCCTCTTCCTTAGTCTTCACTGACTGGATATTTGACTCTGCCATTCTGTTTATTGAAAGGGGCAGGGACTGAAAAACTTTAAAAAGTTTTTTTTTTTTCTGCGATCTACAATCCTCCTTTGGTGTTGCTGTTTCCAGTATCAGCGGAGAAAGTCTCCACCTGCTGGTTCTCACGGCACTAAAGGAGGATTTTTGCAGAAGCCTCTGCATTTGCAGTCATGGAAAGGAGAAGAAGCATACTGGAAATTAGACATTGTACACCCCCTAGTTCTTTTGATTTTGGTGGGTTGACAGAGTGATTAGCTACCGCAGCTTGGATCTGAAAACCTGGTTCCCGGAAAGCTGATCATTAAATGAAATTCAGCTGAAGGAATCGGAGACTCTGCATCGTGGCAACTGGCACAGATGGTTCTTGTCACTGTAATTTATATGCATGAAACTGACTGGCACAAAGTTACTTGAGTTGTGCCTTAATATCCATTTTCTTAATACATTTCACAACTGCAGCATTTGTTCCCTGGTGAAGGCAGTGGGGGTTACCCACTATCCTTAGCAAGGTTATAAAGCCCCAATGTGATTACCATCTTCATCTTATTAAGAGTTGGGGGGTTATTTATTTTTTCATATGTGTGAATATAGCAAACTGGTCGAACGCTTATAGCAGGATGGATGGATGGATGGATGGATGGATGGATGGATGGATGGATGGATGGATGGAT